GCTTGGTGATGGGGAGGGAGCCAGGAAGCAGGCCCCACAGAGTAGTCTGCGGCCGGGCAGGCTGAGAGGAATGGAGGGATCCAGAGAGGAACTGGGTCCAGCAAGGCTGCCAGAACTCCCACATTGGGATGGATTGGGAGTACCAGGTTACTAAGGCTGAGACTCAGAAGGAAAGAAACCAGTGTTTCCTGCTCAGGAAGGAACTCATTATTCCAACTGGGTCACTGGATCAGAGTTGGAAAAGCTGAAATGTGGGTTCTGTTCTTAGTTCCCCACTTATGACTACTTTAATTTCTCCTAATGGTTAGAGATTGGTAACCCAACCTGGGAAGGCTTTTATCCTCTGGAAGGGTCAAATGGACCCAATACTGGGATTGGAGGATTAAGGAGAACAGTGCTAAATGTTTCCCATTTCCCTGGTGATTGTTCGTTGAACACATAGGTTGGTGATTGGGCAAAGAACCTATGGATAAAATTAACACCATAGCTGATGTTCCCTCTGAGCCTTGGCAGACTGAGAAGTATGTGGGTAAGTGAGGGGACTGACTAGTTGCTGGTCTTTGCTCCTTTTCTTACTGGGCCTGGTCTTGGGCAAGTTATTGAACATCCTAGAGTTTGATTTTGCCTAACCTATAAAACAGCAAAACTAATACTGACACTGCAGGATTTTCTTAAGAGTACAGGTTGAGCATCTAGAATCCAAATCCTAAAATGTTTCAGAATTTGGGACATTTAGGAGTTGGGATTCTACTACTGACCTTGTGAGACAGTTTGCAGTCAGTATGTGGTTCAGTGTTTATAAACTTTGTTTCATGCTCAAAATTATCAATTCTATTGTGTAAAATTACTTTCAACCTGTATATTCAATGCATGTATGAAACAGAAATGAGTTCTTTGTTTAGATTTGGCCCCCAATCCCAAGTCTGCTCATGATGTATGCACATATTTCAGAACCTGAAGAAATAGGAAATCTGCATCACTCTGGCCCCAAGCATTTCAGATAAGGGATGCCCAACCCGGATTGCCAGTAAGAAGGTCCACAATTTATTAAGCATTTATTTTGGGCCAGGCACTGTGCAAAACAGTTTAAATACAGGAGCTCACTTAACTATCTTGAGGAGTAAAGAGGCACCATGGCCAAGACACATGGCACCGCATTCCACTTGTATGCATGCAGGAGGACCTGTGCATGCTGCACGGCAGGACGAGTACCATGAAGCATCAGTGGGTGATTAAGGAAGGAGGTCTGTGATTTTGGAGGGAGGATAAGGAGTGATCAAGTGGACAGAGTTAAGGATAGCTGGATCAGACCAGAGGAAGAAACCATATGACATGTGAATGACATGTTATAGGCCATTTTTTTTTTTTTTTGAAAACCCATCATTCCTAGTTCTATAGTGGAATTAACCTTGGGAGGCCAAACTTGTTTCCCTGATACAATGAAGCCTTCCCATGTGTCCCCTGAGGGAGGCTGTGTCTGATGAAGGCAGTAAATGGTACTCTGGTCTCAGTCCCTGTCACAGAAATCTCTCTGAGAATGCTGGTTTGGTTCAGCACCTTCCCCCAGGTCTTAGTGCAATTTGGGATCCACAGCCATCTTGGCTAACTACCCTCTTATTTGAGGTTTCCCAGAAGCAGCTTTGGAGACAAGGATTGAGCTGAATGTCGTTTTTTTTGGAGACAGGGGGTGTGGCAAGGGATTGGGGGGAGTGTACAAGGAAGGAAGGAAAGCCAGGGGTGTGTTATAAGCGTGTTTCCTCAGTGGTCAATGGTTTGCTCCTTCAGGGGACCTGCGAAGAACTCAGCAGGGCAGGGAAGCTGCGGGGTTAACCCCCACTGCCTTGCCTCTGTGCAGGAGGGCGCCCCTTGCAGGTGCTGGCTGGCTGGCACTCTGCCCTCAGGCAGAGCTGTGAAGTCGACTTTCAAGGTGGGACCCTGTAGGCATGTATGGAACTGTCCAGAAAGCTACCAACGACTTCTGGGGTGGAGTCGGGGGATGGCAGCGTCTGTGAAATCCACCGTCAACCTTGAACATTCAGATTTTTAAATTTCCACTTCCCATTTGAAAGTCCTAAAAAAATAAATCACCACCTTGCAAGATAGAACATCCCTGCACGGCTGTTCCAGATTCCCTGGGTTGGCGCTGGTTGCTTTCTTTGGTGTCACTGAAAACATTTTCTTTCAGAGGGTCTCTCTGAACATTAATCCACAAACGAGCAGAAAATACAAATGTTCTTCTGAATAGTCCCTATTAAATAAGTATTGAGATGTGAGCAGACCTCTGGAGTAGGTGTAAGCTTAAAAGAAGTCACCCCGGCTACATTCAGCCACAGATCCTTTCAGCAACAGGAGAGGGCAGGCATCAAGCACACCTGCAGATTCTGACCTGTAGGGATTGTTCAGCGTGCACACGAGAGGAGTGCTCCTTCCACCCGGGCTCCCTTCATCCTGCTCACGTGTGTCCTGCCTTCCAGCCTGCGTACTGAGCAACGTACACTAGTTCTGCTAAATGAGAGAACATTCGAATGTGAATATCTTTGTTTGATAATTTCTTTCTAAAGCACATGCAAGACCCTGCGTGGGACTGCTTTGTAAAAAGCACCAAGCAGCCATGGACTACAAGGACAGTCGCTAATCTTTAGAGTGAAAATGTTTCCTAGCCCTTTCAGCTTTTCCCTGTGGCCACTTGTCCCAGTGCCCAACCCACACGTCCCCAATCCATTCTGGTTTCTAAGTAAATTTGTCCTATCTTAAATTTGATCATATCTTATATTTGTTTTGTTGTTGTTTGTTTGTTTAGCAGGACCCAAGAGCAGCCCAGAGCCTCTGCTATGTTAGGCAAGTGCTCTACCACTGAGCTGCACCCCTAGTCCTAGACCATATCTTGTAATCTGTGGCTCCCTATGCTTAAATATGAGTGGATTGAGTGTGAAGGAGGAGACAGGGAAAGACTGACTGCACACTCAGTTCTGGTAGAATAGCTTGAGTTCCTAAGCAAATGACCCACTGTGGCTATGTCCCCATGGGCGTGGGCCTCTTGTTCCTTACAGAGGAGGTTGGGACATGATGAAATGCTATGAGCGGTGCAGTTGGAAATGCCGTCATGACTAAATTTTGTTATACATGATAAAGTCTGGGTAAGTTCAGCCCTTTGGAGAAATTCCCAGAATGAGTTCCATTTTGTGCACTTATGGTAGCGATATAGGCTGGTGTGAGTTTCCTAGCATGTCTTTCTTTGTGTAGCATTTGGTGACAAACTACCTGTATCAGGGATGAGAGGTTGGAAAAGAGAAGACTGGTTGATCCATCCACTCTACAACTAGCTCACGAAGAACTGAGATTGTCATCTCTCTTTTGCCTTATACTTTGCTAATAACCTTAGAAATCTAAGCTATGTGAATCATAGCAGCAGTAATACTTATGATCTAACCCTCTCAAGTTTTAACGTAGAATTTAATTCTGGAAAGAACAAATTAGGCCAAAAGAATTTTTTCTGAAGGGTTCAGTTTGTAGTAAAATGAACGATTTAGTGGGAGCCTCCAGGGAACCTGCTATTCTAGAAAATCTGTGAAAGCCTGCGACTTATCATAATCTACTTGTGTTCTTACTAGAATTTGAAAATTACTCAGACATACCCAACTTACTGAGTATTGATGTTTCAGTTCTGGGCATGTTTTTCTGAGTGAATTTATTTGCATTTGTCTGTCTGGAAAGTATATTAGCAGCCTATTCTTAAAATTTCCCCTGATCTTTTATTCTTTTCTGAAATATTATTGATTTTATTTTCCCGAACCTAATTTCATATGCTAATATCTGTGTAGTAGCAATTTTCCATGGTTCAAGAAACTGGATTCTTATGGGCATTTGTCTTAGAGATGTGATTACAGAGGCACTAACTTGATCTTAATATCATTTACCTATTATTGTGTATCAGATGCATGAAAGGAAAACTGTGCCTTCTAACTCAGAGGATCACCCTTGTGTATCTTCCTTAATTTATAATGCCTTGCAAAATTAATGTCCAGATGATTTTGAGTGGCTATTTGCATTATTTGAAACTAGTTAGGATTAATTCCAAACATTATCACCAATGTTGCATGTAGAGAGGAAATTTCTTTTTTAGTACTCCTTATGAAACTTCTGAATCATTGATTCATGCAGTTTGTGAACTAGCCACAGTATTTCAGATACTGTTTTTACTCTGTTGTGGCTGCAGGAGGCAGCATGATACAAAAAGCTTGTTATCTATAGTCAGACGTGGTTAGAATCTGGCTGTACTGCTTATTTACTGTGTGAGCTGGGGCCCTGTGAACCCACCACTGAGACCCTCAGTTTCCTCATCTCTTCAAGACAGACAGACATAGTGTCATCCCTGTTCCAGTTTCCTATTTAAATATTATAACGGCATCCTTTCACTGAGAAGGCCGAGTTCATCTTCACTGGGTTTCTGTCCTTTTCTTAAAGCAGATAGAAGTTGCAGAAGATAGCAAGACTATTGCTAGCAGCTTTACTTATCATAACACAAAACTAGAAACAATCCAAATGTGCAATAGGAGAATGGATAGGCAAACAGTGACATGCCCACACAATGGGAAACTATTTACTAATAAGAAGAAAGAACTATCGATCCATGCAAGAACATGCACAAATCTTATAGACATTATATTGAACAAAAGTCAGACATAGACAACAGCAATTATTTGTCTCATTTTACTTGAAGTTCTGCAACAAGCAGAACTCCTTCAGGTTGATAGAAATCAGGTCAGTGATTTCCTCTGAAGTAAGGCTCTCCACTGGAGAGGGGTACAGGGGAACTTTTGGGTCTTGATTTGGGTGGGGATCATGCCAGTGTAGGCATTTGCCAAAATGTGCAGTGAATGGTACAATGAAGTTGGGTATTTTATTTTGTGCAAATTATATTTAAATTCAAAGAAAAGACAACTCACTCACTCATATGCTAAATGTTGAATTTTCTAATGACCGTTTTTGGTGATTCTCAGGATGCGGTGACCATCTGCACCCTGGGGATTGGGACAGCCTTTGGAGAGTCCATTTTGGACAACACGCCCCGCCATGCGACCATCGTTACCAGGGAGAGCAGCGAACTGCTCCGCATCGAGCAGAAGGACTTCAAGGCACTATGGGAGGTGAGCCCCAAGGCTTCTTTGTCAATTAATATAGTTTCAGATGAGAACGGGAGTCGCCACACGGATAATGGCATTACAGTCAGGCCTTAATGTGTTCTGTTCTGAGCTGGTAGATGGAATTTAATTTTCAAAACTTGTTTTTGAAATGAGTGAGTGAAAAAGCCATTTTGACACAAGACATCTTTTTTTTTTTAATTTAGTGCTTGCTCAATTTTCTGTAGTTTGACATACCTTATAATTATTTCTTGAATGACCATAGAGCGTTTTTATGTATTTTCTCCCTCCTGTTCTACAGAAGTATTCTTAACCAGGGAACAAAATACTTTGACATTTTCTTTTGCATTTTAAAAATTATTATTGACATGTTCCCCCCGGGAAAGTGGAATGAATGGGGTTAACATCTGCTTCATTTAAAATGCTTTTAAAAATGATGTGCCCTATAATAAGGTATGCGGAATGGAGGTACATAAAGATGTCTGGTTACTTGCCAACTTCAGGATGCATAGGTGCCTCAGCAGTGGAGGGATGCCATGTGTCCTGGTAGCTATTGCATTTACTGATGCTTCCTAGTATATCTCAGGGCGCTGTGCTCATTTACAAGGAGTAGGGGGAATAAATCATCTTACATGCCATCTTGGCAAATAAAGCACTTATAAAGGCCCAGCTAAGCTTTGCATCTCTGACACTCATTCCTTTTCAGTTCTTTTAGCTTCTGATTTTAACCTGTGGCTGCTCCTTGTCTTTGTCCAGGGCTCAGTATGTCCAAGAGTTAACCCGTTGAGCCGGCAGGCTTTGCCACTTGTCCCAGTGTGGCTAAGATTTTAAACTTGATCTAAAAAGAATTTTGTGTAATCAAATAGTTTCCCCCAGAGCCAAACAAATGATGGATGCATTAGGGGGGCTCAGCTGCAGGTGAATGAGTGACGCTGGCCTTGAAAGTCAGGCAAAGCCTTGGAAGGCCTTGGTGGTGAAACCTGTTACTTTTATTCTTGGCACTAGTGAATAAATTGCAGGGTTACTTGTTTGAAATGTTTCTCTTAGAAAATATTAAAGATCTCCCACGGCTCTGTAAAGTTCAGAGACAAAAGCTAGTTTTAGGAAGGAAAAGCAAAAGTCGGTTTGCATGAGGTGTGTGTGGAGAGGTTTTTCCGTCAATTAAAAGGGACCAGGCTTGAGGCAAATAAGCCATTTCGTGGATCTTTCATTTTAAAAGGTAAACTGAAAAGTCTTTTTCAAAAAGGGAATTTGGAAAACTGGTGTAAGGAGAAAAAAAAAAAAAAGACTCCTCTACCTGCCACGAGGCTCCGTCGCCTCTTTTGTCTGGGACGACTTGCTCAAATTGCTAGATAGAGGGTGGTTTGTGGAAGTATTTAAAAATGTATTTTAATTAGGAGCCCTCAGTGCTGTGAAGCAAGTTCTTGAGAAGTTGCTGCCTAGGAACATTAAATTTATTAAAAGTATTTTCAAACAAAATTTGCAAAGAAGAGTGCAGGGGTCACGGGCGCACCCCACTTAGCTCAGCAATCTTTAACCTCCAGCTGTCTTCGCTTTGTTTTGTTCTGAGCTCTTTAATGTGAATGATAAACATCATGCATTTCATCCTCAGTATTCAGCATGTATTCCTCCCAAATTAGAGTATCCTGCTACATACCCGTAATGCTAGTCTCTACAAAACTAATGATAATATCCTAATATCATTTAATACCCAGTCTATATTTCAATTTTTTTCAATTGATCTTAAAATATCTTTTATAAGCTGTTTTTTTTTTTTTCAAACCAGGCTCCAGAAAAAAGCGTGCATCCTATTTGATTGTTACATCTAAATCTCTTTCCTCTCTCTGCCTCTCTTGTTTTTCTCTACCTTTCTCCCTTTCCTTTCTCCCCTTGGCATTGACTTATTTAAAAGACCAGGTTAATTTCCCCCAAGTTCAAGATTTATATGAGTTGTTCTCATGATGTCTTCTTTTACACCTTTACCCCAGGTTTCCTGTAAATAGAAGTTAGGGCTAAAATCTTAATTAGATCAATCAAACATTTTGGGCAAGAAAATGTTAAGGGTGATGCTGAGGGTATCAGGAGACTCCTGGTAACCCATTTGCTCCACAATTGGTGGTGGAGCTTGATCCCTTGGTAAGTTGTACCTGAGTATATCTTAAACCGTTTTCTATGGGTGTTTCCCTTAGAGGAAAATTATTAAATGGAGACATTGATATTGAGGACTGTCCTTGCTCTCTAAAACCTTACCATGTGTTTTGCAGCTCTGTGGGTCCAATCCCTCAACTGAAACCTCAGAGCTTGATTTCTGCTCTCCTCTGCTGCTGACTTTAGTGTGCCGGGGGCAAGTTTCAGAGAGCCACTTAGTACTCAAAAGGATGGATAGTTTTCAGTGTGGCTTCTTTTACAGGAGGAGGACTGGATTCTCCAAGGAAGAGATTAGTCCACATACCATACTTCATTTCATTTGCCTGTCCTTGCAATGAAGTGCAGAGTATGAATGAGATACTCAGTCAACGTGTTCACTATTTAAAGTTCACAAACCACCCTCAATCACTTATCTCATTATCTAGTGACCTGTTAATCAGAACTTTTTTTAATGGCTATGCTTGTGCATACATAATCCCAAGAAGATATATAATTCTAAAGTACCTTCTGAAAAAAAAGATTGATATTTATTTTACAGTTCATTTATACAACAAATGCAGAGTATCTCCTGTGTGTTAGGTGTCAATAAACAAAACTGACAGATTCTCAGGGCAGAAGCTTCTGCTGTACGTGGAGGAGACAGAAAATAAAACAAAGCCAATAATATAATTTTGGAGTATAACCTATTGTCATTAAGTGAATCTTACTTTTGTTCTTTGAATATTTGGTGATCTATTGTTGGCATATATAACTCCAACTACAAGCAGAATGTGTGATAGCCAGACCACCTGTTCCTTGACTGTGTCAAATAGTAGGTTTTATGATTCAGCCATCCATCACACTGGTGACATCTGCTAGCAATATCAAAACCCAAGCTCATACCGTCAGCTGAAATCTTAGATCTGTCAGCCACAGAGCAGGGAAGGATTGTGAAGGCAAGGACTGTGTCGAGAAGGCTGATGATGTTCTTCTAGATCCAGGTGGATCTAGAACTGAACCGTGAGATACAGAGAGAAGGCGGCAGCAGAGTGGGTAAGGTGTCAGAGTCAGGGCTGGGTCAGGGGTCCAAATTGTAAAAATAAGACAACGTAAATTAATTGTGGCCTACATTTCCATGTTCATCTCATGTGACTCTTTACTTTTGAGGAATGTCATGGTGGTCCCGTTTTATGGTAAGCACATTATATTTCTATGTATACACATATATTCTTGATATCACTTAGAGGGGTTGAAACCTGAAACACTCCCATCAGGATTCTGAGTGACTTCTCACTGAAAATTATGGCTAATCATTAATAGGTAGTATAGTCAAAAAAAGTTCTTTCATAGGCTGAGCAAAGCTGTGTTTGTGTCTTATGCTTGGGCTGTGATGGCGGCACAAAGCTGGGAAATTCCCATTTCCTCCCAGGCCCAAGGCAGGTTACTCAGACTTCCACAGGTTTGTACTCAGAAAGCCACACATGAGGTTTGAAATCCTTTCCGGTTCATCCCAAATATCTCTTGCTTTATATAGTCTATTCTGTTGTAAGTCCATTAGGCAACACCTAGTTTTTAAAAAGTTATTGTCATAAATGTAACCAGGAGCATTTATTCAATTATCTCTGCAAATACCTCAAAAACATAAACATGCCCTAAGATATCACTGAGAGGGCAGCTTGATGCTTATCTTTTACTCGATATCTTTCCTAGTGAGAACTGCTTTCTTTCCTCCTCCTTTTCCATATTTTAGTTTTCAATTTATGGTCAGATTCAGAGGTACGGTGTTGGTCCCTCTTCAAGTCAGGTCATGCTTTCTTAGCTTGAGTGAATTAAGGTGGATTTATTCAGAGTTGGTCCATGGCACCTCCCTCTTCTCTTGCCTCTTTGATAGGAGAACTTGTAAATATTAACCAGGGTATAAAACATCTCATTTTTCAGTAACATCTCAGGAGGGAGGAAGAGCTAGGGAGAGAGGAGAGGGGAGAGACTGGAGGAAACGTTTCTGAATTACATCCAGAAGAGAATTAATTTGAAAGTGTTGGAATACCATTTTTAGTTCTTGAGACAATTATAATTTATAATTTCAACTCTGACACTAGTGGCATTTCCTGCTCTTAGTGAGGAAAGCTAAATGGCAAAGTGGTTAAGTGGAGGCTTGGGAATTTAAGCCAGTTATTAATAGTTGATCCAAGATTATGGGTATGTATGATGGATGGTGGCGCTTGGAATAAATATAAAACTGATTTATGATCCAATTCCATGAATCTCTTCTCAGCATATGTAGTACAGGAGGGTTTCTGCTGGCTTAGAGCAACAACAGTGAGGGTTTTCTTTCTTTTTTTCTTTTGTTTTTTTCTTCCTCCCTTCATATCTCATGTAGTCTGAGGGTTCTTTCAGGTTTGCGGCATGTTTTGACATCTTTATGTGGAATCTTTCATATGCCTGACATGAAATGACGTGAGGGTCCAGTGTAATCAGGGAAGTAGACGAGAGAGACAGTCGCGGTCAAATCACTATCCAAGAACTAGCAGTGTACCGCCGGGTTATCAAACATCTCATTCTATAACCGACACTGTTTCAATCGCATGAACATCATTCTGGTTAAAAAAAGAAAATCCAATACTGTGAGTCATGTTTGAACATGTTCAGAACAATATTACATATTTATGAATAAATTCTTTGAAAAATATAAAGATTGGAGTAAAATGACCTGTGTCACAATAAAAGTGTTTCTTCCATTATCATTGTTATGCAGACATCTCTCAGGACACTCTTGTGATTTTATTTGAATCAGGGCAAAACATGTCACGGAGAACCAGTGCTTGGATGTAGTAATTGGTATAGCAGAATTTATTCCCCAAATGTGTTTGTAATCTCAA